GACGTTTGTGAGCATACGGGGATCAAACGAGGACTGAGACACCCGTGGGAGTCTCAACCTTGGCCGAGACACCTTAGGGTGTTTTGGCCAAGGCCGAGACACCCTTGTGTCTCTCTCCTCTCTTTTGCATAATATTCTTTTTCCCCTTTTGAACTTTCCTTTTTGTTATTTCCTCTTTTGTTTTCCCTCCTCTTTCCAAATTTTCAAAACTCCTTCTTCTTTCTTTTATGCATACACCATTGTTTCCCTCTAAGAAACCCATTAAAACTCCTCTCTTTAAACCCTCTTAAACTCAAGACAATTTCGGATTTTGGTGCTCCCCCTTGGCCGAAATTCTTCTATCCTCAAAGCTAGGATTTTTCTTCTTCATCTTCGAGCTCAAGAGAGACCACTTGATTTGGGTAAGTTTCCTCTCACAAACTCTTTCATTTTTTGATAAAGATTGAAACTTTATGTTTATAATGGGAGTATAACATGAAATTATATGCCAAGATCCTAGCTTTTTGTTCTCATGAGTTTAAAAGATAGGCTCTTTGATGATGGGTTGTGTATGCACAAGGATTTGGGGGGTTTTATGTAAAATCAACAATGTGGCCGAATTTGAAGGGCTTTTGTGCAAAAGTGGACTGAAATTTGAGGGTTTCTTATGCAAACATGGACTGAAATTTGGGGTTAGAATTCCATACCCTTTTGGCCAAACTTTGAGAGGTGTTTGTATGCAAAGAATCAATGTTTGTTTGAGGGGTTTATTTGCAAAAAGCAACCCACAAAGTGTAGAGGGTTTTATTTGCAAAAGGGCTAAAATTTAGGGCTGAAATTCCAAAAGTTTAGACCACAAACCCATGACCAAAGCTTTGATAAAGGCATGCGGAAACTAAACCGAAATTTGTGGAGGGGTCTTTTTGCAAAGTTGGCTAAATTTCACAAAAGGGTTTATTTATAAAATTAACCGAAATTGTGGGATATTGGGGGTGCTAGATGATCAAATATGATGACCCTGACCCAATTCGAGCGTGTCCTTGACCCGAATTTAGCCTTGAACACGAGGGGTATTTTGGGTATTTCACCAAAATTTACCGCAAAATGACAATCATTGTTTTGTATGCACGAAATTTGTAGGTTTAATTAGACTTTAACTATAAAATCCTATTTATTCATAGGACTTTAGTTCAAGTTCTTAATTTCCCTTTTAAATTTCGTGTATTCATATTTTAGATTGTACCTGACTTGCTGCTTTTCATTGCAGATTTTCGATGTCTCCACGTCGACCTCGAGCTCCTAGGAGTCGCTCCCGTTCGCAGCATAGCAAGGAAGAAGTTCCCACAGCATCCTCCCCTCCAGCGGCATCCTTTTTCGGGGGTGAGAATCTTTATTTCTGTACCCCTGATTGATCCCTTCGCGGGTCATTAAGGAAGAACCAACATCCTCCTTCGTGGGGATTGAGGTTTCAAGATATTGGTGGTTCTGTTACACCCTCGTTTGGCCCATTCGCGGGTCATTCGGGAAGGGCCGACACCCTCCTTCACGGGGGTTGAGGTTTGAGACTTGTTTTGCTTGGCCAATTCAAGTCTCCTGGTATATTGGGGCGATCTTGTGTCGTCTTACACCTTATAGGTCGGTGTATGTTACCACGTTATTTACGTGATGATGCATACCGCTCTTCCAGTGTAGGACACTCAAAATCTTCTCTCCAATTACCCCGTGAATGATCTTATCTCGCTTTTTTATGAGATGGATTTAATTCATGGATGATTTTCTGATTCTATCCTTGCTTTATTGCAGTCGAGTTCCCCACGGGCAGTCTCCCTCCTCATGCTACTACTGGTTGTAGCGGGGAAGTCTTCTCCTCGGCTTCCATCAGGCAGGCTATTAATCCACTCCCTCAGTTTGACAGAGATCGTTCCGATGAATCCTGTCGTTTGATACGGGATGGAGGGCGTCATTGTTTACGCCAGCTGATTACGGATGCTTCTTTTACTGCGGATTCCGTTTCTACTCAGGCTTTAAAGAAGCCCAGTTTTCTGTTCGGAGATCATATTGAGGATCCTGCTAAGTTGATTCTTACCGAGGAGCATTGGCTGAATCTTGATGAAGGAGCTCTCCTGTATATTCCCTCCATTCCTCGTCAGTGTTCTTTCACTCATTTGGAGGGACAGGCCGTAGAGAGACAGATGCCCTGGTGTCTTACCGATGATGCTGATCGAGTTCAGTGTGGATATACATCCCAACATAAGACTCCTGGTTCTATTGGGTATCATTACATCCGCGGTCTTCGACCAGGGATTACGGGTCTTAATACTGCACCCCCAGGCGAGGTATCAGCAGCCGCTCCTACCGTGAAGAACCGTTTGGCTCATCTTGGGAGGAGATTACCTCCACCAGATTTTAGATGCTATGGTTGGGCTTTCTCACAACCCAAGGCATGGTGGACACGCATGACCAGCTACGTCTTGGGGCGTTGGGAAGATAATTTGAAGAGCAGTGGATTATACGCACCTATACGAGCCACCATGTATGGACTCCCGGTTAGCTGCCACCATTTCTTGGCATTGTTGGAGACATACATGCCTGACAGTAACACGTTCTTGACCAGCGGCGGAGAGTTAGGGTTGGCCTTGCATGAGATGTATCAGGTTTCTGGCCTTCCGATGGGGGATTGCCCATACCAGGAGTACTTTCCCTCGAACCAGCAATTGGAGTGGTTGAAGAAAGATACTCCCGATATGTACGATACCTCCCTGATCAAGATTTCTCATCAAGCGAAGAGGAAAAGGCAGATCAGCTTGAAGCAGTTTGCTGTCTATTTGTTCCAGAATTTGGAGAGTGATTCCGGCGAGCTTATTCGTGAGTTAGATGTTTTGACCCCTATCGCCATTAATGAGTTGATGGAGAAGGCTGAGGCTCGTTCTTACACCATTGCCAGTGCTGAGGGAGCTTTTCCTGTAGGAACCAAGTTTCGTTCGTTCCTCCGCCGTGCACAGAAGTCCATTGAGCCCCGGACTCTGCTAGCAGGCTATCTTGCCCTCTGGTTGAAGAAGTGCGTCGTTCCGTACCAGCTTTCAGACGCCTTACCTCTCGAGGTGCTCTTTTCTGCAGTTCAGCTAGCTTATGAGAGGGAGCTTTCCCTGCTCCCAGCAATGGTTGCTGATATCCATTGTGGGCTCAGGTATCTGGTCAGCGGTTTTGTGCAAGTGGGTTCTGAACCGTCGGCCGAGCTTATTTGTGTGAAGGTCGAGCTTCCTTATGCGTATTTGATAGCGTGGCTTGTTCTTCACCGTCCTGACTTGATGTCAGCGCCCAGCACTGTTGATGTCCCTGTTCCTTTTGTGCAGCTGTTGGAGAGAAGCAGATGGCTCGGGAAAAAATTCAGTGATGTACACGAGAGCTTCGAGTTCGTAAGAGCTGGAAGTTCTTCAAGTGTTTTCCTCGCTTTTTGGGTCGCTATGGTGATGTGCTGACCGATGAGGAGAAACCCAGAACTAATCGGACTGCTCTCGACATTGGTTGTTTCCGCTGGTTGGTGAACATCCGTGTCGGGTATCTCGTTCTTCGGGTGAAGAATCGTTGCCACATAGAGCCTTACCTTCCCAGCCGTTTTGCTCGTCAGTTTGGCTACGACCAACTATATGTTGGGAATCCGAGCCGTGGTTTGAAGATTGAGGGAGGGCTTATTGACGGTGTTCGGGCATGGCTATGGACCATGGTGGGCTGTACGGGAGCCCAATTTGCTCTTCCTTCATCCAGACGCAAGCCGTTGATCACTTTCCTCAGCTGCAAGTGGTTTCTTTCTGCCAACGAATCTATAGGCGTGAGGAGTCTTTCAGAGTTGCAGTCTGAGCACTTGGTTCAAGTCACTATGATGGCTGCTCGTAAGGCTGAGCTTACTAAGAAACAAGGGAAGAAGCCTGCCAAACCTAAGAAGCCTGCCAAACCTTCCCTCTCGAGCAGAGATAGGATGGAGGACGATGAAGAGCTCCTTCCTATTGATGATGAGGACGAGACTTCTGAGGAGGAGTATGTGGATATAGATACTGACGAAGAAGAACTTAATGCAGGTTTGTCATGCTCTTTTGCCTTCTTCCTCAATTTCAATTGGTATCAACGAAAGGTCTTGTTCACTCATGCTAACGAAATGACCCTTATCATCCCAGGTAAGACAGTCGGTGAGCATGGGTCGCTCGCTTCTCATTATGTGAGATTCATGCCTAGCGGCGAAGCTCCTACACAGGTTGAGACGTGTGGCAAGTCCGTGCACGAACGACCCGTTGGTTCTATAAGGGCTGGTGCTCCGAAAAAGAAGAAGACCGCTCATAAACCACACGTTGGTCGGCGCCCCTATGGAGTGGATTTAGGAGACATCGCCAACGGGGAGGAGGGTAATATTTTATTGTCTTTATTGCTTTAAGATGGTTTACCTTCTGGGATTCGTAATCATGTTTTATGTTCCAGGACACTATGAAGAGGGCGAACTTCCACCGGATCCTGTATTCCCTGGTTCTGATAATCTGGATAGCTTCATGCAGCAGATGTGTGACGCCATTCGTGATGGTTCCATGGATGTCGATACGAACCTTGATACTGAGCAGGTTAACAGCGTTGAGCCTGCCATTCCATATTCAGGTATATTTAACTCCGATGATACCCTCCTCAAGTAGCATTTAGAGGAGTTAGGGAGTTCAGGATTCATTATTTTTTCGTGCTGCGCTTTCTTTCAGATTACTTGAAGAATCCAAGCATGGATATTGGGGAAAAAGAATCTTCTGTTCCTGCTGCAGGTATTTCTGAGCTTTTTCTTCTTTCCCTATCTTCTTGTATATATATCCAATACTTAAATTATTCTGCAGATGTCGTATCAGAGAGGCCCGTTGAGGATGAGGCTTTTCATGATGTAGGTCTCGAGAAACAGGAGTATGTCGCTGCATCAAATTACTCGGTACCTGACATTGGATTATTAGTCGACATATTGGCTGAACAGGCTACCGGAGGAACTGTGGGACCACCCTTTGAGAGTGATTCATTCACAGGTATATATTTGATTCTCTTCATTTTGCCTGATCTTTTGTCTGGCTAACAGAGGATTAATATTGCAGTACCAGCCATTGGGACTGATCCAGTATCGATTCCCGGCGTATCTAGCTTACCTCGGAGTGACAGACCTGCAGGTACGCACACGATCTAGGACGTCGTGTTCCTTTTCATTTGTCTGATTTTTTGACTAATAGATGGGTATAATCATAGGACCAGCCACCGGGGCCGATACTCTTACGACTCCTGGCATTCCCCGTGTGCCTGAGGATGGTGGACTCGCAGGTATACAGATGATCTTATCATCTCGATCCTCTTTATTTTGTCTAGATTTCCAGTTTGACTAATAAAGAAGTGTAACTATAGGACCAGCCGTTGTGCCTGATGCCACTACAGTTTCTGAGACCGATTTGCCTACGGGTGTTGATATACCCTCCATGACTACTCCTGCCGTCATCTCGGAGCCTATCAGACCTCAATCCGAGGGGACCTCCGCTGGCGTTGGTATGCTCGAAATTTGCCCTTAAGTTTTCTTATCATATTTGATAATCTCTCAGCTTTCCGCACTGTTACTTGTAGGATCCTGATCTTCTTTATACGAGCGTGTTCACGCCCTTTTGGCCGATACCGATCCTGACAGAGACATCTTTCATACGGACCTCGGCTTTTTTACCGCCTTTTTTAACGGCATGATCGAGAAACTTCTTCAGTTCAGGCGTTCCTTTTTCTCGCCACATGATGATGATTAGAGAAGAAGGGTATCCAGAGTTGGCCGATTCATTCATTGCCGATTTTACTGTTCTGGAGTCGGAGATCCGAGAGTTGAAGGAATTGAAGGCTAATGGAGCTTCTTCCTTCGTGTCTTCTCAGATGGAGCATAGGCTGGCACAATGGCGCGACCTGAGATCTTCTATCGGCAGTGAGCTTCAGTCACATGAGCATTCTGTTGCACAGCTGATGGCTATCATGGCGAGGAAGGATACAGATAGAGCCGAGTTACTCAGCTCTTTGGATTCCGGCCGAGAGGAAGTGGCTAGGTTGAAGGAGGCCTTGAAGCACGCCGAGGAGTCCGTTACTATTATTGCAGAAGACTTGGCTGGATTAGAGCGTTATCGTGAACAGGCACTCGAGAAGCTAGGATCTACACAGGAGAGATTGATGAAGCTGAAGGATGAAACAGTGAAGATCTTGAGCAGTTCTGAAGAATCTGTCTGAGCTGGTCTGCAGGCAGAACTTGAGCAGAGTTATGTAGATAGGCTTTCTAATTTAGAGTCGCATATTCTTAGCCGTCAACTGCCTTCGGGCTAACGATCTTTTTATTGTATGCTTTGACTTGATCTATTAATAGAGACTCCGCATTTGCTTCCTTTATGATATTTCTTTATTTACTTTGAACCCAGCGATGAAAAGTTCTACAGGATTTTTGGCAAACCCCCAGCCATCAACGGGTTTGATGTGCCTTTACCGATTACCGTTTGAATCGGGCTAGCATGTGAATTATTAAAACCCGTCTCACATGTAACGTTGTGCTAAGAAAGTCGCTTTTCTTAGACTTGATGCTATGATTTTGAATACATAGACTTAGCCATTTCTTATAGGGAAAAGGTACCCTGCGCCGTGTATTAGGCGATGACTCATCCCTTCTTAGGTTTCGGGATAAAATTCCCCAGGTTTAGACCCTGGTGCCTTTTTCAATCGGTGAAAGGCTAAACCGGCAATGCGTGTTAGACATAGACTTTGGGATTTTTGGCAAACCCCCAGCCTTCAACGGGTTTGAGGTGCCTTTACCGATTACCGTTTGAATCGGGCTAGCATGTGGATTGTCTAAATCCGTTCCGCATGTAACGTTGTGCTAAGAGAGTGAATTCTCTGAGACTTTATGCTATGATTTTGAATACATAGGCTTCACCCTTGTTACGGGAATAGGCTACCCGGCAACACGTGTTAGGTGAATACATAGGCTTCACCCTTGTTACGGGAATAGGCTACCCGGCAACACGTGTTAGGTGTTGACTCATTCCTACTTAGGCTTCGGGATAAAATACCCCAAATTTAGACCTTGGTGTCTTTTTCAATCGGTGAAAGACTAAACCGGCAACGCGTTTTAGACGTAGACTTATCTCTATTTAGGAGTTGAGATAAAATTCCCCGTGCACAAAGTGCTCGGATTGAAAATTGAGAATTGTGTCTTTTCTAAGAACAAAGACAAACTAGAAAATGGGAGAGAAAGAATTTTATATTCTATATCCCAGTACTGAAAAGGAAGAATTTTATATTCTATCCACAGTAGAAAAAGAAACTCAAGGTGGGATCTCCACCCCCAGAATCCGAAAAGATGAAACTAGGAGTGGGATCTCCACTCCGAGAATCGGAAAGGTTCAAACGACCCTAACTTTTATAGGATTGGTCATTTGAATCAAAAGAATCCCTCATTCATTGAGGAGAAAACCCAATTTCGACCCTAACTTTTATAGGTTTGGCTGAAAAAAGGAAAAGATGGAAGTCTTTCGTTTATCGAAAAGGAATGACTCGGTCTTAGTCTCAACTACTTGTAGGCTTGACTAAGTGAGATTGGGAACAATCCTAACTTTTATAGGTTTGATCGTTCGAATGTGGACCTCTCGTTCATGGAAGGAATCGAGAGAGGAATTTGGCTTTGGCCCTGACTTTTATAGGTTTGACCTGAAAGCAAAGAGAGTGGAATACATGTAGCAAAGAAAATGCCAACTCGTATTATCACTCAAAGGAAGACTTTAATGCTAGGTGATTAGGACCTAACATGTTGAGTCTGAGAAATGCCAATGACTGGCGGATAGAAATGTTGGTGGATCCACCGTCAATTGATTTGATCAGCGGATGGTTTGGTGAGGAAGGATTAACCTGTCAACGGATTGAATCTCGTCTCACAAAAATAACTCATGAGAGTTAGAGAATCTGACAATAACAAGAAGAAACATTCCGACATTCAGAGTTCGAACGTGGATTTCTTATTCATTACTTCTACAGTGATTGGGTTATCCCTAAGAATATCACGTGTGGTATTCTTCCGGGAACTTCCCGATACATTAGTTATCCTGAAGATACTAAGGATAGTATTTTTTCAGGAATTTGTCGTTTATCGGCATCATAAGTCGGTCACCGTCCTTGGTGACTAGGCGATATGCGCCACTCGAGTAGACTGTCTCTACTACGAATGGTCCCTCCCATTTGGGTTCAAATTTACCTTTCTTCTTGGAGTTAAGGATCATAGGCCGCCTTTCAGCTAGAACCAAGTCCCCTTCTTTGAAGCTCCGTTGTCGAACCTTTTTGTCGAAAGCTCGAGAGATCCTGGCTTGGTAAAATTCGATATGCTGTTGAGCTTCTAAACGCTTCTCATCTAGCCTTTCAAGTTCTTCAAGGCGCTTCTGATGTTGCTCTTCGGTCGTCATTTGAGTCGCGAGGGTAATTCAAAGCGACGGGATTTGAATCTCTAATGGAAGAACGACTTCACATTCGTATACCAGTGAATACGGGGTTGCTCCCGTCGGTGCGCGCACCGTGGTCCGATAGGCCCATAGAGCCGTGCCCAGCTTGTCATCCCAGTCTCGTTTATTAGTTTTCATGAGTTTTGACAAAATCTTTATAATAGTCTTATTGAAGGCTTCGGCCAATCCATTTGCTGTGGGATTGTAAGCTGTTGACGAGATGTCCTGAATTTTGAACTTTTCACAAAAGCTGATGAAGGCGTTGCTGACGAATTGAGGACCGTTATCATGTATGATTCGTCTCGGGACACCATGCCGGTAGATGATATGGTGCTTGATGAATGCAATGACGTTGCTCGTTTTGACTTCTCTGAGAGGAACCGCTTCAGCCCACTTGGAGAAGTAGTCGGTAATCGCCAGGATGAACCGATCACCTTTGACTGACGGGGGATTTATAGGACCGACGATATCTATTCCCCAGGTCTCAAATGGCCATGACGTCACCGAAAGATGTAGATGCTTCGGAGGTCGATGCATATAATTCGCATGTGTTTGACATGCATGACACTTTCGGGCATACGCGATTACATCACTCATCATGAAAGGCCATAAATATCCCATTCTTCTGATGCGGTCATAAAGCTTGGGGCCAGGTTGGTGTGCGCCACACTCTCCTTCATGTGCCTCTCTAAGAACTTCTTCGGCTTCTTTAGTTGATAAGCAACGTGCTAGCAACCCATCGTACCCCCTGCGGTATAGCGTTCGATTCTCCGTATTATAGTAGAATCTTGGCGCTCTTCGTCGGATTGATTCTCTTTCCTTCATGTCTTCTGGTAGGATTCCATGCAAGACGTAATCAATGATGGAGAAACGCCAATCTCGGGGTTCAAACTCAACTTGAGTTGAGTGTGTTTCCTTAATATCTTCTTCCTCGTCCTCTTCATCATAGATCGGCACTAGGAGTTGGTGAGTCCTCACTGTAACAAACTGTTCTGTTTCAGGAGGTTGCGCCAGGGATACGGCCAATGCCGCTAATGCATCTGCGTAGATATTTTGTAACCGTGGAATATGTTCGATAAAGAATCTTTCGAATGATTCTGCCATCTCTACTGCCATCTTATGGTATGGTATTAAATCCGGGCTTCAGACCTCGTACTCTCCCTGAACTTGTTTAACTATCAGTTGAGAATCACCGAAGGCTTCGAGATATTCAACCCCCAGTTCTTTAGCGAAACTGAGTCCTATGAGTAATGCATTATATTCGGCTATGTTATTTGAGCACGGTTCGGTCAACGAATAAGCTCGAGGCATAACGTGTTTTCCTGGGGAAACTAAGACAACTCCAACTCCGGAAGAAATCTTAGGACTTCCAGGAGCACTCGCTACATTAGTTGCTCGTGAAGCGCCGTCGAAGTACAAACGCCATACTTGCTGGTGTGAAGTTGCGTTGACTTCGTGGGTCTCATCAGGTAGGTCGTCATATATCTCGGTGGTATCCGTAGTTGGATTAGCTGCCAGGAGATCACAAATGGCTTGTCCTTTTACCGACTTCTGTTGTTTAAAATGTAAGTCGTATTGGGACAAGAGTAAGGCCCATTTTGCTAATCGCCAATTCATGAACGCTGGTTGAGTTATGAACACTCGGACTGGGTTAACCTTAGAGATAACATAAATGGTCTGTCCAACTAGATAATGCCGCATCTTCTGAATAGCGAACACCAAGGCGAGGCATTCTCTCTCAATCATAGGATATCGAGATTCAGCGCCTACCATGGTCCGGCTTAAATAATACACCGCCTGCTCATGACCGTTATCGTCAT